CCCCAAAACCCCAAAACCCCAAAACCCCAAAACCCCTTTAAGGAGGATTTTTAAGGAATTCAAAATGATTTTAATTACATGGGGTTTTAAGCAAGAAAAGTTTGTGAATTAGCTTTTAGAGAAATTTTAGAGGAAATTGGAGGAATTTTGGAGTCGGAATGGAAGAATTTAGGTGCGGAGGGTTGGTTTTTGGAGTAATATAAGGTATAGTCTAATAAATATATGAAGCTATTTATAAACTACTTCCCTATTTTCTCTTTTCTCTCAAACCAACCTCATCTCTATTCACATCCTAAACCCCCTAACCACACCCAAACCATACACAAAGCCCTTTATCCACCCAAAACGCCACCTTCCCCCTCATTTCTCCAAAATCCCTCCCTTAAACTTTCTCATATCCCTTCTAAATCCCTTCTAAATCCCTCAAAATCCTCAGTACAGCTCCACTACCCCTCGCCATCTTGTGCCAGTAAATTCTGGATTTACTGGTCAACTATCTTTTAAGGAGACTACTCGGAGCTGGAGGCTTGGGATGGGGTAAAGGGAATTCTGTGTGGCTGTTAGGGCTGTGAGAGGGGCAGTGAAGTGGGGGAAATTGGCGATTGGGGTACGGAGAGTGGTGATTTTGAGGGGGTTGGAGAGGTTTGGGGGTTTGAGTGGTATTTTCCAGCAGAGAAGGTCAAGTGTGTGTGGAAGTGGGCGGAAGAAGAAGGGAAAGGGGTGGTGAAGGAGGAGGAATTGGGGGTGATGCTGAAGGTGAGGAAGAGAGAGGGGAAGAAGGATTTTTTGAAGATTTGGAAGGTGAATAGGTTTTTTGGGTACTTGGTGAGGTTTGTGATAGGGTTTAAAGGGTTGAAGGAGGAGTTTAGAGAGGTGTTAGGGGAGTATGTGAGGTGGGATAAGGTTTTGGAGGGGAAGAAGAAGGAAGAGAAATGGATAAAGCAGGAAAAAGAGGTTTAAACGTAATTTTTCAAAAATTTAAGGGGTTTTGGGGTTTTGGGGTTTTGGGG